ATAAACCACAAGTGTTATTTCTCTCATTTAGTCTATCCAAATGCATGATGCCATGCAACCCAAATGGAACATGACGGGTCGGGTCAAGTACATACCAAAAATAGTTATGGACTTAGACACATTATCCAACAGAAAGTACCTACAATAGTCGAACGGAGTCACCAATGGAAGTTGTGCGTGTTTGTGTGTTCTTCTATCGACTCCAGCGACTAGTTAGGGGGGATTTTTGCAACAAAAGAAGTAGAGTTTTAAGATTTGTAAGTTTGGACTATTGGCTACCTCGTTCTTTTCGTTAATTACATTTCATTGAAATCAAGAACCGATGGTGGATCATTCGATCCACATTTTAATTTAAATAATTTGACTTCTTTTGATTATTGTAAATGTTATTCAGTTTATTCGGGTTATTCGGTTCGAGATGTTTTGTCCTAAGTATTGATTTAATCGGTCCGGTTTTCAATTCTTCCAAATAGTCTTATTCGGTTTTCAGTTTATTCGGATTCGGGTCGGTTTGGTCTAGTTCGGCGTAAAAAAAAACTTACTCGAATTATCCCATTATCCTTTGGTCAGGTCGAATTAAAAATGTTTTTCAATAATTGTAAAATTAATATAGCATTAAATATTGGGTACCATTTTTGGGCCATTAAGGCCCATTGGGTTTAGTTTTGAAAATTTCACGATTTAGAAGAAAACGTTTTTTTACAAAGAAGTCGATTCGAGGCGGCGATTCACATGGTAGTTCGTAAAATGTACCTGTATGCTTCATTTCTTAGCAAGTTTGGAGCATTTTGTATGTTGCTCGATTTGTTGTTGAATCGTTTTAGAGCTTTACATTTACATCTATTATGCTTTTTTCGATGCAATCGTTAATATGTACTCTGTTTATGTTTATGCAAAACTATAGTTTATGGAAAGAGATCTTAACAACCAATGCATATGTGTATAGATTCAACCATTGGTGTGCTTCCTGGATCCTTTATGTTATTGTCACTGTAGGCTAGTCACTGTTACTCATTTTTGCATCAAGACGCCTTAAGATTGCAAATTAATCATGCTCCCTACTCCCTTGCTGCCCATCTTGTAGTAGTAATTTATACTAGTTGTTAGTGATTAGGGTTTATACCCAAAACCACCGCCTTCCACCTCCGGCGACCTTCTCTAATAGTCGTCGGAGGTGCCTTCATTATGTTTCGTATTTTTCATTTTCTTCTCTTTTCCGCCTAACTAATAAAACAGCCACCGGCACCAAACTAGAGCTCTTTCATCGGTTTCTTCCACTGCCTCATCTAGTTCTATCTCCTCCTCAGATGACCTGTGCTTCTGAGCCTTCTGCCTCCTCCTCGGCTGGCCACTTATTCAGATCTCTTTTCCAATTCAGCCCCTTCTGATGTTGTTGTTGCCTCCCTCTGATGACATATTCTCCGTCGGGCAGCCTCTGATCTGTAGTCGTTTCTTTCTCTATCAACATTGTAGTTGCCGATCTCGTCGGAATTGGCTCCGTCCACCGCAGCTCAAGCCCTCTTTCTTTCTCGCTGTCTTTCTCCGGACTCCTCTGCCGCTGGTTGCATGATCATCGCCGGCGCCGCTAGTCTTCTCTTTTTCTACAACAGAATCACCTATGGCTGCTGCTTCTTCTCTTTTCTTTTCCGACGAGCAGTCAATCTTAGCCGCCATTGTTAGAGCTCTACCACCGCCGATGCCGTTGTCTTCATCTAGTTTTTATGTTTTCTTCGTTTGTTTATTTTTCCAGTTTAATCGCCTCCACCCGATCAAACTAGAGGGGAATGTTAGTCAGGGCCGGTCCTAAGGAATTAATTATCCTTAAAGGCCCGGAACGAACAAGAAAAAAGGGGCCCTTGTCGTTATTATAAGTTGTTATTTTTAAATAAAAATATATAATAAATAAAATTAGGCCCTGTGCGGCTGCCCACTTTGCCCCCCCCTCAACGCCCCCCATGATGTTAGTGATTAGGGTTTAGCCATTAGGCTTTAGGTATTCTCTATATATTTTTATGTAATTGTGTTTTGAAAAGCAATCAATCAGTTATCTAACACTAGTTATGTGAGAATCATATATTCCATCAGCAGATATCTTTATGCAACTAAACTGTTAGCCCATATGAACCCAGATTGTTTTTTTTAAATATGAAGCAACATGGTAGATCAAGGTTGTAGTAATACTGATAGACAAAACTGCTGTTACTTCTCAATCATAACTTAATAGACTTCACTAAACACCATATCTGCTAAAAGCCTAAAATAATATTCCTACTTAATTGTATTCTTAGTTAAAATGTTTTTGTTAATAATTGCTGGCCCTAGTAAAGGTTTATTGAAAAGGTTCTGAAGTCAAGTACCAACCATGATCTTAATTCCACGACCTCAGCCCTACAATTATAGTTTAAGGAGGACATTGATTTATCAGCAATAATTGATGGAAGTCCCCATTCTAAATGTAGAAAATAAGCCAGAACATAACAGAAAAGGAAGCAAAAGCATCATCATGCAGATATCAAATGACTTACTAATACATACCAAAGCAGTTTTGCATTTATTCTATCACACGTTTTTAGTTAAAGAGAAACTATTAATGGAAGGGCGTGGAGAGATAGTTGACTGAATCACAAAGGAAGTAATAACATGTAAACATATAGTCTTCAACCAAGTCTAGCCACCATTTGCGCAAATAAGGATTGATGTAAAGAAGCGCAACAAAGCCCAATAAGAACACAACATACGTCGAACCAGAACTTCCATAGAAAAATGTCATGTCGATATCATACCATTTGTCATTGTCTTCTATGGCTGGTGGATTGGTCACGTGTGGATTAGTTGTGCATTTCTTCTCCAGTGGAGGTCCACAAAGAAGTGGATTCCCTACATAGCTTGCCTCCATGAAAGTACCAAACTGTGCTTTCATATCTGGGAGTCTGCCTGAGAGATTGTTGTGAGAAACATTGAAAGTAGATAGAGCGGTAAGTTTAATGAGTTGTGATGGAACATTTCCGGTCAAACCATTTGAAGAAAGGTCCAAGCTCTCTATTTTTGCAAGATTTGAGAAGTTCACTGGAATGGGTCCAGTCAGGTGATTGTGAGAGAGGTTTAAAGCACGAAGATGGGTTAAGAATCCCAGTTCTTGTGGAATTTCACCGGTTAGTTTGTTACAGGAAAAATCCAATCCTGTCATGTAATCAAGGATGTCACCCTTGTAGCTGAGAAAGAGTTTTTTGTTGTAAACTCAACTTCGTCTTGTGTTTCAAACCCTTGGTTATTGACATAGGCAGGCTGCCACCTGTGTAGAACACTCTTATAATCGTAAGAGGAAGACATGGGATACCATGATATGGTTCTTTTAAGGAATGCAAGGTAACTTGACCCGGTAATATTTTTTTGGCAGTTAGGTATTGAACCAGAAAGGGAGTTGTCGGATAAATCCATCAAACTTACATTATATAATTGGCACAAGTGTTTTGGAATAGAACCATGAAACTTATTTTTTCTCATGAGAAGAATCCTTAAATTGGATTGTTTACCAAGAAATTTAGGAATCCTTCCAGACAAGTCATTGTTACTGATGTCTAAAGTCAAAACATTAGTCAAATTACGAAAGAAATTGGGTATTGGTCCAGTGAATCTGTTAGAACCCAAATGAAGATGCTTCACATGTTACAAGTTTAAGCAAGATGGGATTGGACCAGAAAAAGAATTTTGCGAGATATCAAGAAAAGTGAATAAAGTTGGTCCACAAGGAAACCTGCCTTCCAAACTGTTATTTCTCACCACAAGTTCAGATAACTCACTTGTGTTGCTTATCCACCCAGGGATCATACCGGTAAAAAAGTTGTTGCTAATATCTAAAATCATCAGCTTATTATATGTGCTGGGCTCATTTTCAATGTTACCAGTGAAACAGTTGCTATCTAAGTGGAGCTCTCGGATTTTACCTAAACTTAAGTTTCCTGAAAGTACATTGCCATACAATTTGTTGTTTGATAGTTTTAAGATCATCAAACTAGACATGTATGTAAACAATCCCTTTGGTACTTCTCCAGATAATTCATTATCAGATAAATCCAGTATTCGTAAATCCCTCAAATTACCAAGTGAAGATGGTATAGCACCACTTAAAGAATTCTTGGACAAATTCAAATGTTGGATGTAGGGAAAGAATTTTTGCATATCATCGGGAATAGTACCTATCATTCGATTTCCAGACATATCCAGTTCCAGCATATTAGCGTTCCTATGCAGCAGCATGCCGGTAAAGGAGTTGTTCCTTAGATTAAGAACTTCAAGATTTGTATTATTTTCAATCAGCCAATTTGGAAATTTTCCCTCCAAGTGGTTGTGAGACATGTCTACTTCTTGTAACTGGTGCTGGTGTAGCAAAAACCCTGGAAGAACACGCCCTTTATGCCTATTCATATTGCAATTAGATAGCATTACAACTTTCAACTGGAACATTGGAATCCAGCCTATAGGCTCTTCTGTTTCCACCTCAAATTTGTCATTGTTGCTTAAAAAGCGAATTACCTCAAGCTTTGAATGATTGGATAACGACTTAAGAGATGATAGACTGTTGAAACATTGAGGCATAATTCCATTGAGCATGTTGTGACTAAGATCCAACTCCTGGAGGTTCTTCAGCTCACACAACCCTGCCAAAAGAGAAAGAATGTGGTTTATAAACCCCCCTTAACATATATAAAAACTTGCACTTGCATGGTCATACGACACAAGAACACTTAACTATGTGAAAAAGGTAATGTTACATAAGGCTTGCTCCAATTTATAAGTCATACTATAAAAACATTGCATGTATAAATTTGACCTAACCAATCCCAAACACAATAATCATGCATGTTTTGAATAACTTACCATGATCTGGTAATGAGCCATTGAGATAATTGTATGCGAATGAGACAACTCTTAGAGAAGATAATGCATGTATAGCTGATGTTACACTCCCAACAAAATGGTTCCAACTCAAATCTAAGACCTTGAGTTGGTGGAAAGATGTGAAAGCTAGATGACAACAAGAGAAGATTAGATAAGTAGGTTACTAATTAAATAAAAACCATGAAAAAGGATTTGTTACAAGCCATGTATCATATAATTGATGATTGAAGTTGGATAGGCTGTAGGGCCTTTCATCTCTCTGATGATTCTTAATTAAACCAATAAGGAATGATTCTTAAAGAAAAAAGCCTACCTTCCACTGGTAGTGTTCCACTGAAACCATTTTCTCTCAAGAGGACGACTTCCAAATTAGGCAAATCATGGAATTCTATATTGTATAAAGAGGCTTGTCAAACAATTTTGTAAACAATTAGCAAAAATGGATATTAATAAATAATTGTGACGATGAAATTTAGTAATTTAGTTTGTTTGATGATAATGAATCATTTAAAAAGTAACATGCCTTGGATGGGAAATGAGCTTTCCAATGGAAAAGAATGTGAAAGATCAAGAATCTTGAGGGATGGGAGGGCACTTAGGCATGATACGATGCTTTTGTTGAAATTGTTATTGGAGAGATTTATACTCTCCAACCTTTTCAATCTCGATAACATCTGATACAGGGCTAGTTGTTATAAAGTTAGTTACAAGAGGGGCATAAATGTAAATGCAATATAGATGAAAGTTGTTAGTAATGTCTTGAGGGCATAAATAGAATGTACAACTGCGTGAAAATAGTTATCGATTCAATAAAGCTTTTCCCCAAATATTTCCCTCTTCTCTCTCTCTATCTCTCTCTCTCTCTATCTCAAATGATTCTCGTGTAGTATCTCGAAGCTCCGATTCTTCATAAAAGCATGGTAGCTTCCTGCGTCCTACATCAATGGTATCAGAGCTTGTTTCTTTGATCCTTTAAATCTACTTGACAATCTGGCTCGAGGCAAAAACGCAACGGTAGTCCATCAACAACAAGAAGCAATGGACGATCGA